CTGCTGCCCTTCCTCCAGGAGCTTCCACTTGTGAATGATGCCACACCTGAGACACACATCACAGCTCTGAAGCCAGATTTCTCCTGTTCGTCCATAAGAGGTCTAAAATTGGTGACTGTCAAACAATTTAAGTGACCCTGATGAAATCCTTTAACCCTTACCCTCACCTTTTTTAATCCTCATGCTCCTTTCAGCCTTTTCTAATGAAACTGTTCATTGGGATGACCCTTCTCTAGCAGGAGGCCAGCATTCATAAAGATGAACCAGCATCTTGCGTTATAGAAGTGAGTTATTAATAAGATTTAGTTTTAATTGCTCTGTACTGAGCTAAAGTACAGGAAATTGCAATTTTACTATGTAATATAGTTACAGTCTGTTAATCTGCTATGAAAACTCGTCTTACTATGAAGTCACTTTGCACACAAAGTGCTCTTGCTACCACTAGATGTCAGTTTTACACACTTTAAAATGGACCAATACCTTAAAAATTACTATTCTCCGTTCGCAATAGAAACATCTATTATGTCGTTCTTTCTTGACTGACCTTTAATTTTAAGGATTTCACATTTTATTTACCTTTTTCTCTCCAGCCCTCAACACCCCTCATGGCACAGTTCTCCTTTATCTAAGAAAAAAAGACCTAACACTTTCCACTATGCATTTATACCGTGATTTACTCAGTCTGAGTATTGCTGGCAAAAGTCTCTAGCTCAGGTTGCATTTCTAGAGGCCAGAACTGAAATCTTACTTTTATTCCACAAAGATATTTTTACATTCCATAAGGACATTTTTACTAAGAACTGCCATATCTTCTCTGACTAATTACAGATGGGCTACTATGCCAGTTAATAAAGGATATAATTAACATGGTTTATTACATTTCTATGATTTTTCAGATTTTTATTTATATTGATTGCCTAAATTTAGATAATTTTTATTTACACTCCAAATTTCTGTCTCTCAGAAGTGACAAATGTCACTGTAGTCTTTTTGTCAATACCGAAGAGTTTTCATAAACTAGTCTTAACATAAACTTGGTCATAGTGAATACAGAACTTCTGTATCATGCATTTACTTTAGCATACCAAAATGAAGTTGCTTTATGTCAAGTAAATGTCTTTACTTCCCTCCTTCCTCCCCCACAAAAAAGAAGAAAACTAGGAGGAAGTCAAACTCATTATGTGTTATTACATTCAAGTGTACTTACACATACACAAAAACCAACGAACTCATTTCACAGCAAACATTTCCAAAGCCACGCATGATAAGAACAGGCAGCTACAGAACAAAACTCTGCATTGTTGTAAGGCAATGACAAGACTGTCACCTTACACGCAGCTTTACTGCCCAGAGATTGACAGCTTATCTAGCCACACCGTATGTTTGTTTACCATATTGTCAAAGGAATCCCCTCATTCTCATTCACATCAAAATCTGACCTTTTCAAACTCCTACTGATGCTTCGCAGCTCTCCTGGGTTGTTCAAGGTATTATTTGCACCTGCAGCCATCACCATTTTACACAGGTGCTTACCTACCAGAAGGGCTGGAGAGTAAGGAAGGGGAAAAATGTGCTTCTACGAACTTAAATATAGTTGAAAAGACTGTATCATGCAATCAACTGTATCAACAGCCTTTTTCAAAGACATCTGAACACTTTTTTGAGGCAACAACGTTATTAAAAACATCCCTTAGCACAACCTCAGCTAGGAACTGTGAAAACATGGCAAAAAAATCCAAAGCAAACGCAGAGGCCAAAACACATGAGGTCTCATGACTTCTCTGACAGCAACATTTATGACTTAGGAGCCTTCCACAGAGAAGTGCTACGCCTGGGGCAGGCAAAGGTGCCATTTATGCTCTGTGTTGTTGCAACGTTATTATTCCATTCCCCTTATCTTCCTAACGCACTTACTCAGCTTCCACAACCAGGACTCCACTTGCACGCTCACTGTCCCTTATCCACCTCGCAGCCATCCTCTACACACCCCCAAGAGTGCAAAATGCCCCAAGTCCCACCCAGTCAAGGCATGTAAGCCACATGCACATGCACTGATCGCTTGCGAGCACATGCGCAGAACCAGAGCGCCTCAGACACGCCAGATCGCTCTGGATGTACTGCATAGTCCACGTGCACAAGCCAGTTTAAACTTCTCCAAACAAAAATACATAAAACCTACTTATAGGTCTGAAGCTCCAGACTGCACAGAAACTTACCTTCTCTTCGCTTTTGATGTAAGGTGTCCCCTTTGTCAGCACCCATGGTGGCAAGCAGCTATGACAGGATAGGCTCAGGTCCAAGAAGTGCTTCTGCAAGTAAAGGAGCAAAACATACCTCAGACATTTGCACCATTACAGCCTTTCTCCCCCTCCACAACGCTGGTTGGTTTGATCTGCAAGCTAAGAATTTTGGCTACTCAGCCACTGAGCTGAACAAGTGAGTTGCTGAGAAAGTTGATGTTGGGTGAATGAAGCAGCCAGTAGAAATGAGGAAATCAATAGCATGTTAAAAGGGAACATAATTTTTATATGCTTTCCAAATTGCACTCCAATATGAAACTATAAACATAAAACAAATAAACACTCCAATCCGTCCCTTTAGTTCCTCATTGTATATTTGGCAACTCAAATCCCTCCAGGAAAGAAACTACTTTAACTTCTTCTTTATCACATATATTCATTTGCAACTTATTCCATTCATGCCAATATGAATCACTAACAACGTATATCATAAGCAACAACAGAAGCAATGGGTAATTAAAACCTGGAAGCATTAGTCAACTTCCTACAGAATCTACCATGTAATTTCAAAAGTGTTGAGTTTGCAAGATATTTTCATACTCTTTCCTAAGACCGGAATTTTGTTACAAAAAAGCAACAGCAGCTCTTAGTTTCAATCAATAGTGCATTTAAAAAATAATAAAAAAAAACCTTTCAGCTGGACCCACAGTTCTCAATCTCTTCAAACCTCAGAGGCATTCATAGCTTAATTCCCCCCACTGAAGACTGTCACAGGAAAAAAAAAAAAAAAGGGGGAATAAAGTTAAAACTCTCTCTCTAAAACATTCGCCAACATAGGAATTGCTTAGACCCATTGTTTCCTTCCCTCCACTGCTAGTTTAAAAAGTGCTTGATCAAGCCCCGTACACAGCACTTGCCTGTATGGAAATGCACGTGTGCTCAGGCAGCACGTTCCAGCAAACATCATCTTGGAAGGACAGAGAGAACTACACAAGCTATTTGTCTGAAATCACCAAGCAATTACACCCCGACAATTTTAATGCACACAAGCAAACGTTTAAATAATCTGTTTTGCGAAGAGAATGAGCAAGGATCAAACCCTTACAACAAAAAGCAAAGCTGCTGCCTCCTCCTGCTCTTGTTTAAAAGGGGCAAGAGTAGGGGAGGAAATGGCCCTAATACTGCTGGTCATTGATATGCAGAGGCAATTTGGTGAGTCATCACTTCAGCTGATGTCTGAACAAGCCCAGATGGGCCTGTATGGCAATCAGATGGCTCAATACAGTTTTAAATTTCCCCAGGAATTTGGTGATTTCTAGATCTGCTAGATCATCTGCTAATTAACATAACATCTACAGGGAGATATGCAGCTGCTTTTTTGTTACAGTATAATTACAGGCTAAGTATGAAATGTACGGGGTTCTCTACTGTCTGAAATGGCATATTTTCACAACAAATACGTCAAGAAATGCAGAGATTCACTGGAATTTAAATACAGACTGAGGAAATATGTTTTCTCTGAGAACTTCCATGTTCTGCACTTGATCTCCTCTCATACAATCTTTATTAGTGCTTCCATTTGTACGGCTGATACAACCACATGTATCATGCTGGTAAGATGGTGAGAGAAGAGGCAAAATAGTTTGTTTTGGGACTGATGGCTGGGGTGTTATTCAGAAAAACACAGACCTGGGCAAATAGCAATTATACTACAGTGAAATCAATATCACTGAGTTCACTGGAAAATATCTCTTTCAGAGATTTCACATCCATTGTTAGGTGTGCCAAGGAAGTCTCAGGAAACAGGCAAAATTAATTTCCTCTTTCTGACACAAAAATAGATGAAGGGTTAGAATTGCATCTATTAAATAGACATGATTTCTGCCTGACCTATATGCTGAAATCTATGCTGACAAAGAGGGCATTTTAGCATTGGCAGGTTTCTGGACAGAAACCATGCAATCCACACTCAGTCTGGGTACAATCCAGAGACTTTAGTGGAAATTTTGCACTAAAGGAAAATTCATAGTTAAAAAAAAAGTTTACTTACACTAGCTTAAAACTCTGACTTGAACACAAGCTGCACACTAGCTTGAACATCAAAAGCAGTGCATAGACTCCTTGACACATTGAGCTGAAAGGTCTATAGAGCTACACAAACTTTTGAAATCATTTGGTTTGTTTTCAGTACCTTAATTAGCTTGTGCAGCTTGTGCAGCACTGTATGTGCCAAGGTGGCACACTACAAATTCTATTCCTTTTCATCATCAGCTTTTCATGGGTTGAGAAGTGATGTAGAACTTTAGAAAAAGAACAGACCAAACATGGAGTTAATGATATCTCAACCATTGTTAAAGTATCTTCCACTCAGCCATTGTTATACTAATCTGCTGATTTCAGTAAAAGAAACTCAAAGAAAGTGTCTGTGCTGGAAGAGACCATATTAAATAGCTTGCTTATCACTTTTTGAATGATTCATTAACCAGCCTAATTTAATCTGCCACATGCCTACTAAAATTCCAGTTTAACAACCTAGTGTGAGCTACCAGCTTTTCAGAAATGTTACAACAGGCCAGTAACAAAAAGTTAAGCATTAACCAAGATGAGACAAGTATATAGCTACAAAACTAAAAACTGTTTTTTCAGGTCTTTGCTTAGTTCACTCTTAAAAAAATTTTTAAAAACCCAGTCACTTCATGGGTTGCTCTTGATTAAAATAACCTTTATTTAAAATGTAAAACCTATTTTCTTTCTTTTCAGAATATATCAGACTATGAGCTGAACCGATTCAAAATAATGCACCAGCCGTAAGTTTCTCATTATTTTCTGCTTCTCCATTGAATGACTACTGCACTGCTGTACTCTGACTGTTTCTCTGTTAATAAATTAGGGAAAATGAGAACTGAAACCACTTGCTCATGTGAACAGCATTAATTGATGTGGGTAGAACTTCCTTAGGATTAGGATCCTGGAATGTTTACAAGAGCTGTGGTTCAGATCAGCTGACAGCTCTTCTGCTGGGTGATATTCTTCCTCAAAACAGACAGGGACAATCTTAATATTAGAAAAAGTACAAGTTCATCGTATTCCAGAATACAAAAGCCCTTTGCTTGTATGGTGTATTCTCGGAACTGGTTCATCTGCTGCTTAAGGATCAATTTAAGTGATCAGTTTACCAAAGTGCTATGTTGAAAGTAATTTAAATAGAATTTAAATACAGTACTGAATAAGTAAATACACATATAACAGTTGGGAAATGCCTTAATGTTTTTTGTGACAAATTAAGTTCATTTAGAAGGATATCCATAATGTTCAAGTATATAATTTCTCTTATAGTACTACACAGAAATAATATTAGGAAATTTTCTTTATGAACCAAGGAAACCAAGAAGACTTCAGTTTAATACAGAGGGTCTTGCTGATCTTCACCTAATTGTTGTTATTATTTCATGTAGCTTCCCCCTTCACCTGCTAGCTGGGAAAACACTGTATATATTTACAAATTGCTTTCTGAATTCCACTCTATTGGTAAGAAACTGGATGAACTTGAGGGATTTTTACCCATTAAATTCGTATTCCTATTGACAGGAATTTGATGAGCACACAGGTAAATATTATTCTGGGTTTAATTTAATAATTAACTAGATAAGTAAAGAAAATATCAAAGGACTTTCTTGCAAAGCAGTTAAGTCTGACAGGACATCATTTTGAGAGAAAATGTAGAGAGAATTAATATAAAGTTAACCAAGGATATATCCTCTGTTTCTGTGATATACGTGAATCTTACCTACTACAACACTGAGGCAAACAGAGATCTATTGAACTGAGGCCAAGGGTTCCCCACTGATGAGGGAATTCAAGCTTTGGATTCTCAAACTCTATATTGCAATAACTAAGGTGTTCTGCCATATGAATTCTGTTGTCCAAAGTATTAAAACTCCTTAAATGCACAGTGTGGATGTCATATCCCTAGTACCCACTTCCGCTCTAAAATCTGTTACTCTTACATCACACTACTTGCTACTGCAAAAATTGCCCGAGTTTGTAGCATTCAAACAGTTTAACTGGAGAAGGTCTATGTTGATCCTCCTAAGCCAGAGGAACTGGCCTGTTCAAGCCTATTCATACAGAAGGTAATTCTCAATGGACCAAAACACTAAGGATAGATAAAGAGAAGAGTAATTGCAAGACAAGTTGAAACTAAAATCCTGTGTTTTTCCTGGCAGTGGCCAGTGCTTCAGTGCCTTAGTAAAGTTTCTTCATGGGCCTTCATTAGACAGCAGCCAGGTTCTCTGACATGCCACCAGCAAAAGCTCTTTGCCTTTCCCATTCTAGTTCTCACTAGTGCAACACTTGGCATTCTTATTTTCTGTAAGATTTTGAGTCTACAATGCTATAAATGCTCTGGGAAATAAACACAGTTATTCTGCATTCTGCTGGGACATGTCATCACAGATATACAGGAGCAGTGAGCAGCCAGCCATGGGTAAGCTTCCCTGACCTCTGCACCAAATACCTCCACTAACTTAATGCGAGGCTCTTTTCCCTCTATTCAATACTAAACCTGTTCTCTAAGCAGGAAGAGACAAAATGGCTTGCCTGGGAAGAGTTTATCATAGTAATTCTGTTTTGCTACTCTGAAGTAAACTTTTTTTGCACTACACTTTTCATGAAGTCTCTTACCATATTCTGTTTTTTCAATCAGTGTTGGTTTTGACAGCCTAATGACAGCCTGATATAAACTAGTTCCCACCAACACTTAAAGCCACAGGTCTACCTTGATTGCTTCTCAGCAGCTGCTAAATCTTTGTAGGGAAATTATCAAGGTGCAATCTCTACTAGTGTCCTGTCCTGTCCCTGAAATGCAATAATCAAATATTTCTTTCCAAGTCACTAATCCAAACCCTTTCTGGAGCTGGCTGCCGAAGTTGTGCAACAAACTGCTCTCACAGGTTTATATGTTTTCAGCAGTCCTGAAATCATGTTGAAATCTTGAGCTTTGCTTAAAGCCCTTCCTCCAGCAAAAGCACCATTGTATTTTTCACTCCACACACCAGACTCAGTTGATACACCCAAACCACTGAACAAGTTCACTTTCAAGAATGCCAGTACAACTGCATTTTCCACATACTTCCTATCAGAGAAGTTTCAAACATCCCACTGACTACAGTCATGGGCTCATTGTTAAAATTTATGCCAGGAAGAACACTATGTAGAACATCACACTACATTCAGGAGCACTCTTTAAGAGAGTGCAGGTAACAAAATCAACCTCATACCACAGATATATCAGAATACTGGAACTTCAGTTCTTTCCAAACATACTGTCTAGCTGTCTTTACTTAACATTTTAATAAGCAGTGCAAATAAGATTGGTATTTATAACTGGATTCAGGGAAAACTGGCACATAAGCTATAACTCAATTATAAACATCCATAATTTGGAAGCACATCTTCCAAAGAAAGAAATTTAATTACAGCTCCATCACTTCAGTGTAGATAGTCCAAGATTTACAGTATCAGATGTTTCTGCAGAAGCTGTTTCACAATGCTTTCAGATTACTGAAGTTCCATCTTCCCAGGGACCGTGAAATTAAAAGGCTGCCTTTATAGCTAATGTGATTAGACATTCATCCCAGATCAAACTCAGAATAAATTTTGCTCTCAGCTCAGGAGCTCTGGGGACTGTTTTCCAAGATCAGGACTAAAATCTTTCATCACAAAATCAGTTCTCTCTGTCACATGTGCAAATTCAAAAGCCAGTTCTGGCTGTGTCAGGTTGCTAGGTAAATGAGAAACCTTCACCTGCAAATCAGGTATGAGGTGTCAAGTCTTGAGTTTACCATTTGTATATAGCAACGTGCAGTTATGGAAGATCCTGGGTAATAAGTGAGCTGTGTTGAGGAACACATAATTACAAGCTCTGTTTAATTGTGGTGTGGGCAGCACTTGATCTCCTTTGCTTTAAATAAACACCTACCAATTTTCACTGCTGTGAAAAATGCAATTTGTTTTACCAGGAATTTATAGTATATGCAGAAAAATTTTCTAATCTCAAACCAAGTATTTTGTAATTAAGATTGATTTCTAGATTAATTTCTAGCATTTATTTTTCATTTGTTCATAGTTTTTAGTAACTCCAAACTGAAATTGTCCATCCTTGCCTTCCAAGAATAAGCAATGCCTTTTCCCGAGACATATGACTAAATTCCCCTTTGTGAGAGCTGTTACCTTTGTAATGCTGAGGTGTTCCACTTGAGATGCCTGCACTTGCATTAATTCAAACTGCAAGAACTAGAAATGTTACACATTAACAGCTTTTTTTTTCCTCTCTCCTCCACTCCCATTATTTTCTTTTATTTCTTCATTATGAAGGCAAACAACCTAATGTGGAAAATTCAGTTTTCAGTTTGTCACAGACATCAGCATTTAAATATAGGGACAAGTTCCCCATATATAAGATGCAAAGGCCTAGATCACCTTTTAGCTCCTTTGTCTGGGTCAGAAGTAAGTTCCTATGGCAAAATCTTCTGTAGTTATGGTGTCCAATAATCACTAAATGTGGATTTCATAAAATCCGAGCTGAAAAAGCAAAGGTTGTAGATGACTTCTTTCCCAATATCTAGCAAGTAGGGTTGGTTTTCTCCCCTCCTTGGTATATACCTTGGTATATATAATGGTTTTCTACTACCCTATATCCTTTAAATGCCACAGCTGATTCAGGCTGAATGGTTTATGTCTAATATGTAGATTTAGTTCCTCGCTTTCCTTAGTTCTTGATGTAGCTTAAATAACAATGAAAAATCTCCATTTATTCCCAAAACTGTAAAAGGTCAGGGCTGCAAATTCAGAAGATACCTCTTCATACAGTGGGACCTCCCAATAAAAAATGATACTGAAAAGAGACCAAAAGAGATTTTCACCACATAACTCTAGTGTCTACAGGAAGCTTCCTTGGTAGCTATATACATTCCATAGGAGATTTAAAAAGTATCTGAATTTTACTTCAAATCACATTTTTATAAATTATTTACTCATTTTTAGCATAGAAAAGCTATGACAGAAGTCTACCCAGGCATCGAATATTTACAGAGGCAGCCATTTCCTGCTGATTAGAATGAATTCTGGATATTCTCCTGTTCACAGGAGGATACAGGAAATATTTTCTCAGCAAAGCAACACCACCTTGTCTCCTTTTATAGCAGAAAATATTACACTTCTGCAGCAGAAAGGGGGCAACAGACACTTGCATTGCAGCAGTGACTCTTCCATTCAGCCATGAGCCATTGAGACTTTGCAATGACACAGTTATTTGAGGAGGAAAGGCCCCCTCACAACTGAGGAGCATAATGTGCTCCAAGTTCTCAGAAGGTCATTTCTGCTCTTGTAACTAGACTGTTCCCTGAGTCATCTTGGACCTAATGCCAAGCAAAACTACTGTTTTGAAAGAATTTTTGAAGTGTTTTGCCAAAGCTTAGCAACGAAGGACTGGAAAGATCACAGCATGAAAAGCCTTGTGGCACCACCATAAACCACATATTTTTGAACCTGAAGCCACAGTTTAATCATAACACCTTCCCCATCTCAGTTCCCATGTCAAAACAAGTATTTAGCCAGACAAACACAGATAGACACATTCCAATACTATAAATCTATAACTGGGCATTTTTCCTAGTACTAAGGAAATTCAATTAAATGTTCTAACCAAGCTTTGCCACAATTTTGAAAAGTGCCAAAAATTTATGACAATCTTGGCAAAATATGCCGTTAGCTATTTAAGACCAATAACACTTGATATTTTCCATAG